TGGGTGGGTGGGTTTTGGGTTTTTTTTTTTTAAAGATTGCAATACTAGTGTCCTCAAAAAATTTTTTCTTAACCTCTTCTCCTCTTGCCTCGATTACAGCATCAGTGTAAAGACAATTCATTACTAACTGCTGCAGCATTTTCCAATGTGAAGATAAAAATATGTGAAACTTAACAGCCACTTGCCTGTTACTCATGTAGAGGTGACACATAAATTGCCCACTTTAAACATGTAAAAACAAATAAAACCATGTTTATATTTACAAACAGTTATAAAAGCCAATATTTCAGCTGAGCTAAATCTGGCAAGTATGTTATAATTACAGTTGAGTAGAGGAGAAAATGGTAAAGCAGACATGGTTTGGATCTCATTTGCCAATGTTTTGGATAAGAGTCTGGCAAGTTTTGAACACACACCAAGATACGACATACTGTAAAAAGGGGAAAAAAAAAAAAAAAGAATTCAGGAAAACACTGAAGGAAGAGGGTATGTTTCCTTTTCCTAGACCTGATGCTAAGAAAGACTGACTCTGAAATCAGGGAAAGCAGAGCGGAAAAGGAAGAAACTATTCTCTAAACTGATTTTTTTTTTTTGCCCTTTTCCCTTGTTAGTGAAAATGTACAGCTATTGAAAGCTAAAGGTCAAAGACATCTGCCTTATATGGCAGTTTCTGGTGGGCCACAAAGTACATTAAATGCTAATTTTCTCACTGTTTCTGTGACTACATCACCATGTTGTTAACTTATCTTAGTTTACAAACGGATGATTAACTTTCAGATCAAGTTCAACCTTCTCTTCCTCATCTACTTAGACGGGAATACTTCTGCTCTTAGAAGAGAAGCTGTTTTCCAGGTTTACTTTCATGCTTCCTCTTTTGGATTATGTAGAAGTTTGTTCAGAAAATTCCAGAACAGAAATATTCTCACTATATTTAAGTAATTATATCAGAAATGACCAATTGTTTAAACAGAGGTTGGGAAAGAAGAGGAGGAGAAATATACTTTATGTCCAGATTTATATTAACCAAGCTAAAGCTCAGTAATGGTAATGGTTCTGTACTTGATGATAACTAGTCACCATAAACAATTGTGTACATCCATTTTTGTTTTGGTTTGGGTTTTTTTTGCTGCTAGTTTTGGATGCTGTGACTGAATGTAGTTAGCTATCTATGGCTTACATGGGTATCTTAATTCCTCTGTTGTACAAAATCGGGACTATTGTACATATGCCAATGGTGCTGATTCAGTTGAACTGAAATTTCAAATTTATTCCAAGAGCTTGGAGTCCTGGGAATTGCAATGCACTAGTAATGTCCTTAAAACATAAACTCATCTATTAAATATATACTTTTTTCTCTTTTTATGATGCTCAACTGCTGTACGTTATTCTCTGGCGTAAAGTTTAAAACCAAATTTTTATATTATCCAGTCTGACCTTTTGTATTTCAAAGCCCAATATACTTCTTTATATTTTACTCCTTTGTGAAGCTCATATGTATGCACAACAGAGAGAAAAAATAAAGAAAATACTGTAGAGGTGCAACTCTGCTACACTACTTCTCAGTTAGCCACCAGTTTGTGTTATTTCCTAAATTGATACTCAACAAAGATGTTCAAAACAAACAGCTATAAACAAGATGAGTACCTACCACACGTTTTTCTTTTCTGAGTTCAGTATCAAGAAGCATGAGATCTTTTAAAATAAGACTGCAAAGGCAGAGCTTAACATCAAAACTAAAACAAAGATTTAAAAAGCATTAGTATCAATCTAAATGAAGGTCACATAAAAGAGCAACACCATATAATAGTTTAATTTAATCACTAAATTCTCCTAAAAGCATTGCCCCTAGAACAGCAGTCAAGTCACTTTATTTCTACATTGCCTTCTCTCTCAGAAAAAATATCTCTATATAAAAGTAAGTGAAGCAAAACAGTGCTTTTACAAAGTTGGAGTTGCAGTACCCTTTAGAAAAAGGCAAGGTAAATATAGGCATGAGTGGCTACAACAAAAGGAAAAAAAAGCTTTAAATTAAAACAGCTGTAGTAATAGTGGGCATTTTGAAAATTTTCTTCACCACTAGTACCTTCCACAGTCCCCACAGTGACACAAATACAATTTTATTTATTCTTGCCAATGAGAACACAGACATGTATGCATTCATCTAGGGGTATCTCGCTGTTGTGCAGCTGAAAGAAAATCAGAGCCGATAATCCATTTTGATTAGCTCTACCTGCTCATCACTGGAGTCTCTGAAAAAGGAACAGTTTTCCCACATGACATGAGTAGTTCCCATTAAAATAGAGAGAACAGACCATTGCCACTTGCTGTTCCCAAGGCACCTGTTCTGTGACTTGATGTACTGTGCAGAGGATTCCATCCCCAGCTGAGCATGCCACTGCATGTGTGAACTGAGCATACAAGACAAAACAAAGGGATCACCTTATTGTAACAGTGATGTACCTTTTACAAGACTGCTTTTGCCAAAGTTCTGATTCCCAGAATTGCATAAAGAACAAACTGTCTTTCAATATACAACAGGAGGCATTTCTTCAGTCTCTCAAACTACTTTTTAGGATTATAAGCCGACAGTCCTGTCTTTACGTGGTGAATATATGCACTCAAGCTCAGCCTTTGGCTTACACCAGACCTTTAGTGCTTGTCCTGAAAATGACTGAGGCACACTAGGAAACAACCAAACACACAGGCAGGTTTACTGCTTACCTCTCACACATTAACACTTCAGGGAAGCTGGTCACCTTGAGGAAGGTTCGAGCCTGAAATCTGTCATCGCTTGTTGTGGAATGTATTGTTGTAGAGGAACTGCAGTCCTCTTTGTCTCCCTGGCTCAGGGATCCCAGGCTGCCTGACGTAGATGTCTCCATGACCTGATTAGGCAGAACCGCCTGCTTTGGATTCTCATGCAAAGATGGATTGGATGAGCCATCTGCCAAAGGCTACAGTCCAATAAAATATACAAGGTCAATTAATACAACACAATAAGGAGATAATCAAGCGAAAAATTAAACAATATACACAGCAAAATTGTTTCCACATAAATCACAATTCATCACACTGACAGGTTTCTGTATTGCCCATAAAAGCATTATTCTGTTGTGGTCATCTGCTTGGCACATGTTTTCTTACTGAAGGGCAAAACTTTGTGGGGTTTTTCTTATGTCTTCTTGGACAGACCCAACTTCCATTAATGTTAATGGGAAGAAAAGGTCTCTTGACTACTGTGAAAATTGACTGGACATCACGTAAAGCACTGCAAGTTTCAGGGGGAGCTGAAAGAAGCTGATTCTTTACAGAATAAGCCCTGAGTCAATGTACTATAAACAAAGAAATATTCTTATTAAGCAGATTGCCAGTAAGTTTTCTTCCATTACTTGACTCTGCTATTTACTCTGTCACAGAATGATTGTAATTAATTTTTAAAAGCAGAATCTAAAACCTTACCCTAAATTTCTGATTGATGGGATAGATGACTTTTGCCTTTAATGCAAATGCCGTGATGTTACTGTTCAGAGGAGACTCACTCTCCTGTATGGAAAAGAACACAAAACTGTTTAGGAACAGCAGTAGACCTGACGTTTGTTCACTTTAAGTATTGCATGCCCCTTTTGATTACACAACTTAGAAATTCCTATCAATAACTATTTATTGACTGTTTCTGCTTTGGCACAAGAAGTCTTCTAATAAGAGTCACCCAGAGTATGAAACCCAGAAAAGAGAACTCTGTCATTAGAACCGCTCCAAAATATTTTTAATCCTGCAAGGTAAAATAGGTAATAGCTGGTATTCACAAGTTATTTCCATTTCGGGTTCCCCCCCCCACACCCTGCTTTCAGTAGCAACTAAAGATTTCACATGAGAGACTGACATTATCTTAATACAAACTACTAAAGGATAAGCTCCACAGATATCATCATGGCTATAAATTCTGACTTTCAATTTAAATAAAGAAACAAATAAACAAAACTAGTCATCATTTTTTCCTTTAACTTCTACAGTACAATCCTTACCTCTAATCTAGAAAAAATATCAATGTGCTTCCAAAGAACTTTCTCTAGATGATGTATTCCTTCCATACAATCTGCTATATCACATAACCTGACTTTCTGTCCTCCCCTTTCCTAGCCACTGCTTTATGCATTGGAACAATGCAATAAACAGCTTTGTTTTGTAAGGTTACATATGGCTTAATAAAAGGTTGGCTACAAGCAACAGATAGAATGCTTAAATCCAAGCTTTAGGAGATTTCCTATTCTAACTTTTTTGGTTTTGTCATATGAAATGAAAGAATCTGGTTTGTCAAAACACAATTTTCTCTATATAGATTTTTCTTGGAAATATAAAAGCACTACTAGAGTCTAAAAATAGAGATGGGAAGAGAAGAGCAAACTACGTCATTCATTAAGACGTTTTATCGTTGCACCCTTTCATCTCCATTTAATTTATTTCCAGAAGTCATTTTAGTGTTTACTGATAAAGATAAAAGCATGCAGTCAGCATGTAAAACACTTGCTCATACTGAGTAGTCCCACTGCTCTAGTACTTCAGGGATAGAAGCCAACAGACCCATTGCTCTGCAATGGCTGGAGGCAGAGCAGCTCCTGTCCAAAGCCATAAAGCCATATCGCAGTGTGCTAGAACTAACGCATCCTGCTTCTCAGCAGGCATGAGTAATACAGTTATTACTAATTGGGTGATGATGGTATTATTGCAATGTGGAAGGTCTCAGAATGAAAATATCTGGTTTTCTTTAGTGGTCTAATCTAACTAAAAGTATTTCCATCTATGCTTCTCCATGAACTCTCAATTTGATGCTAGTAACAGCAAAAGTCTCTGGGAACTGGAACAAATGGATAGCAAAAAAAATCTAACTTCATAAGGTAGACAAATAGGTGGCAGAAAGTGCCTTCAAATAACAAGGTTATTTCTTAATGTATTATAAATGAGCATTATGATGTGTTTGGGAAACGTATTTCCATCATTTGGGAAACGTCATGGGAAATGTATATCCATCATTTCCCAGACATATAATGTGTTTCTGAAATGGATATAGTTGTGAATGATCACTTTTAAAAGACTGTGATCCCACATCAAAAGGACTGGTGATATGCATGAAATTACGCCATTATATAAGTTCTCCCACAGAATTTACACTCCCAAAGAGAGTCAAATTTGTGCTCACTTGTTATGCTGTACTTTAACTCAAGCAAAATGACCAACCATGGTTTGTCACATTCTTGATCACAAAACTGAAACGAAGATTAATTACCCGTCAGGATTTAAACCAACAGTAAAATGTTTACAATAACATCTATCTACTCTTTGTCTTGAAACTAGTTCTTGTTGCAAGCTAAGCACCAGACTGACTGGTTTTAACCAACATTTTCTGCATGTATTTAAATTATGTATAATAAACTAAATGTACAGCTGAACTGTACATTTTTTAAATGTGCCATTTAACTCACAAACTTTAGCTTCAGAGAGAGCCAAGAGCAGTCAAATCAGCTTTGGGTGAAAGGCAGTGATCTAACAACTACATGGTAGGACTGGTTCTCAAGTTATTTTGAGATTATCACAAAAAAAAAAAAGTTATTTGAATTTTTGATTGAGAGTGGGTTAAGTTTATACCTTCTTCTACTTTTCTTTCCAAATTGTTTCTCTAATTGTCCTTGAATCCCAGTTCACCACACTGGTGTTTCAGCACTTGTGGTCATTTGACCTCTGAACTGTATCTTCAGCTGGTACCTGACAGAAGAACCTCCCATATGAGAAAGCCATTGAAGATGCTGCTGTTCGCAAACATGCTCATTCTACTTCATTTATTCCCTCCATTAATCCACTCAGTCCAACTGAGAGTTGGAGCCTCTAAGGAGGCTCTAGAAAAAAAGTATTTGTTCCAGACTGGACCTGATGAGGGAACTTTGTTACTGTCAAAATTTCTCCAATAAATCTCCTTCTCCAGGAAAGAATCCCCTATCAACTATCAGCACTGATTTCAGTACTTAAGAACTTTTTCTTAGGTCAATAGTGTTAACTTTTCCCATCAGCCTTTTGAAATTCAGGACAATGTAGAGACAAAACCAAAGAAGTTCCTGTCCAAATAGAACTCAGAATCCTAATTAAAATATCCAAACAGAGACCCTTAAGAGAAATGGAATTGATAAGGGGAATGACAGAGCACTGGAACAGGCCATCCAGAGAGGCTGTGGAGTCTCCTTCTCTGGAGACATTCAAAACCCGTCTGGACGTTTTCCTGTGTGATCTCATCTAGGTGTTCCTGCTCCAGCAGGGAGGTTGGACTAGATGATCTTCCGAGGTCCCTTCCAATCCCCAACTTTATGTGATTCTGTGTGAAATGGATGCATTCACAAGCAGTCATCAACTCCCACTCTCTTTCTTAGGCTTTTTCTGAATGCTTTTTAAGGGCTCAATTTCAAACCAAATAAAATTAAGGCAGTTTGGACCAGGCCTTGAATGTGCTCATCGTTACAAGCAGCAAAATGGGCATCCACCAACGAGAGCAGAGCTTTACCTCCAACAGAATTTCCTCTTTTGACGTATAGGGTTCTGCTTTACTTTTCATGAGTGTGTGCTCTTTTTCATCAGAGTTGAAGCTTTCCAGAAGTCTCTGGGAATCATCCTTCTGAAATTCCAAGAGAAAACACATAAAATATAACACTGAGATCACACAGATTCACTGGAAACAGCAGTCTGGATACACTCATGTCTCCTTCCTGAAAATTATTGCAGTAACAGTTGAAAATTATAAGTTTGGAAAAAAATGATCAGAAAATGAATGAGAACTTTACATATTCCAGAAGCATTTTTTCAAATTAATGAACTTTATGAATTTGATTTGTCAGTCCAGAAGTAGAATTTTAACCTGAAAATTTGTAAGAGGCTGTGAATGTGTCAAATTGATTCATCAGCTCTCAAAACATCTTACTACAGACTACGGAGTCGAGCTCTCAGTCTTGGTTCAAACTTCTCAGTTAATGCAAGTTAACTAAAATTGTCTGTAATTGCCTGCAGTGAAGAGAACACCAGTATTTTTGCTCCCTACTATGAGAAACACTTCCTAAATAAAGTTTTATGTGTTGGAAGTTCCTGTCAGGAGGAAATAACCATCAGAAAATGTTCACCATCTTCCTCCTCCAAAAGCAGCCCGTACCATTGGCCTTTACTCCCCTAACAAACCACACAGCTGCTGGTACGGACACAGCCCGTGCGGGAACAAAACCTTCTGCTGCACAC